ATACAGCACACTATGTCCGACGTTATGTTTAACGTATATACAGAACGTTTTCAACGAGGTTTTCATTTGAAACGATAATATTAATTCCAAGGCAAACGAAGAAAATCATCTGGCCACCCTGCATGCACTGAAACAAATCGACATGTACCGTTTATTGGATCCATCTTATAACATAGCAATGTCAGCAGATTTATTCATTCTATGTGATGATTGATAGATTCCATTGGATTATCACTTAAAATTTATGACTGCGATATGGAATGATTTCTATCGTAATTTCACATACTTAGTACTTGATAATACTTTGCTTCGAACGTGGTTAGCGAAGGTAAAAAGTATATGAATATTGTCTGATATATTTCATGGTGAAAAACTGTTGATATGTCATGGGTGGGAACAGACATCTAGAAACTAATGGAAAATCATATAAGTTTGCACTATGAGATAATTCAGTAAAATATACCTGTTATCATGATGAATATTGCTCACTAAAATATATATCTTATAAGATAATCATGTATATTTTATTGGAGTTGCTTTTACTGATTTTTGACGTTTGTTGATATGTCGCGTGTAAATAGACATGTAGAAACTATTGGACTGTCATTAAACTTTGCAGTATAGGAAAACATGTATATCTCATTGTAATAGCTTGCTTTGATTTTTGACGTTTAAAGATTGTAAACAGATCTATCCCAATCATTAAATAGTCATATAGAAATGCCTTTTAAGAAATCCAACAGCAAGCATTTGTTTTTGCATGTTTTTTCTGGGATGAAAATCGCTCCCAATAAAATACATCTTACATGATTGTTCTTTATAAATTATTGAAACAATTTTCAACGATGTTAACGTACACTCATTAAAATGATTAGTTGAACTAAATACTACTAACAACAATGATACTGTATTGAATAATCTTTGTTTGTTATTGTTTCATATGATAATTGGTTCCAGAAAAAAATGTATTGAGATTGAAAAAAAAAATTATTCTACTGTAATATTTACTAAATAGTATTCGAACTTCATGAGCCAGTTCTATCAAATCATATAATTTAGTCGTTGATTTATTGCACACAGGTGCATTAGGAAAGATTTGAACAAACCACACCACCGATACGGAACATAAATTTGTCAGTGCTATTTGTCTTCACTCTAGCAAAACGAGCATAAAGTTGCACTACATTCCATGTCGGGAGAGCTGTTCTTACTTCATGCTATTTGAACGAGCTCAATCTTGAAGTCAGCCGTGGCCCAGTGGAATCGAGCACAGACACCGAAAGCATCACACCTCAACAGATCTTGATCGAATCCCAAATCAGCTACAATAAAAAAAGGCACAACTGTGAAAGCTCCCACTGCCTGATGTTTATTTTTCGAATTTATTTTTAGAAATCGATTAAATATATGTGTCAAAAGAAGGAGTAAATTTCATGTTATTTTCACATAAACTTTACTTCGATTGATTTATGACACATATATTATATTGTGGTGAAAAGTATAGCTTATGCTTATGGGTTTCAAATCCATTTCAGTTAATTATTATAATTTGATCGATTTTCATTTATCATATGACGATCATATAAAAGTTACCAAATTATCAGCATTGTAAATGTATCAGATATTCATATAGAATTTACCTGACACATTTTCAATCATATCATTTTCAATGGATTATCTTATAGCGCAAATTTATTAGACTTCCACATAACAGGAATATGTCAAATTCGTTCAGTGTGCATCTGGTTATAGTCCATTCCTCGGTCCATTCTATGCGCTCGAGTATTGATGGTCCGAATGTGAGGATAACAATAACAAACCAGCATATCTGGCTGAAGCGAAAGTGAGGACAACAAACTTCGCACTTGAAAATGGGATTGCGCAAGTGTGCGTGTTTTGAACGACAGAAAGGTCAATGTCGTTCTCATTTTGAAGTAAAGCTCTATATATCGCTGCTGCATTAGCGTATACCAAAATTATTCAGGATGTAGGTGTCAGATGGACGTTCCATTACAAACCACTGATGTTGACCTGTCAATGACTCGCGTTATTTGGCGTTTATTAACTGAATCGCAAAAAGAAAACTAGAGTCCCTGAGGCCCTCGCCCCATGCAAAGTTTGTTTTGTCCTGAGTCAGCACTACACGGCGAATGAGAATGACCCAAATTTGAGTTTAGTTCACTCATAAATCGCAAAAATTACAGGAACTCAGTTTTGAGTTAATTTCCCTCTGTTTTTTCCAGGATTTCCAGGTTTTTCCAGGAAAATTTGTCCGAATATTAGAAAAGTAAAGATTGGATTCTGTGGATTTTCGTCAATCCTAATTTTCCGTAAGATTTTTGAGGTTTTCCACAGGAAAACATGAGGCAAATTTACTCATCGCTGCGTTCCTGCACTTTTTCCGATTTTGAGTACACTGTATTCAAATTTGGGTTGATCACATTGGCCGTGTACAGTTTTTTTTCGCGGTGTTAAAAGATCGATTTCGATCGAATTAGTCCGGGAAAGTGCCGTTGTGTCCGTCGCGAGTTTTGGTGGCGATTCGGTGTCCGACGTTGCGGTTAATCAGCAAGTTTTCCGCTTGCTGGCTGCTGGTCTCACCCTAGGAAAAGGAAGGTTGTTTTTCAGGTATGTGGGCTGTTTTTGAGGTGAATTAATGTAATGTAATTATGTTTTTTTTTTTAGGAAAGTGCACCAGTCCGGAGCCACATACCGGTAGCGAGTCCGAAGCTGGATCCCGGCGGGGAGTTCGAAGTTCTCTTTGCAGGTTAGTGAGTGTGTTTACTGTTTATTTGTTTTGATTGACGAATAAATAAATACTAAAAGCTACGGATCCCGATGACGGGTTCCGTAGGTGGATCCCGATGACGGGTTCCGTAAACGGATCCCGATAACGGGTTCCGTAGACGGATCCCGATGACGGGTTCCATAGACAGATCCCGATGGGGAAACCGAATACGGATCCCGATGGGGAAACCGAATACAGATCCCGAATACGGATCCCGATGGGGAAACCAAATACGGATCCCGATGGCTTTCCGGTCCTTTTCTTTAGTTCCATCCAGTCGGAGTGCCTGGACGAAATCAATCTGATCATCCAACAGCAGTTCATACTCTTCAGCACCAGCACCACTTGCGAACCTCTTCGTTTTTGAAAGTAAATTTCACGCACAGTCTGACGTTTGCTTACGGATTTTACCATAGGAGTAAAGAGCTATAGATTCGCCGTCAAGGCCAATAGCATCAACTATATACTTTAAGCTAGTACATATGAGTAGATAGTGTTGCCGTGAGGTACACTGAAAAATTGAAATAGCAGGTTAGTCACCAAAGTTTTCGAGCCGCTCCGTCTGTCACTTCGTTTGTGCTTGGGACCCTCGTTGGGACCGTTGTTCTGGTACTGAGTGAGCCAAAAATAATAATGATTTTCTTCGGGACCCAGTGGTCTTATAGCAACAATCAATACGAAACTAACGATTTTAAATTGGCTCACCACTTTAGTAGCCTATTGGTCCCAAGCAAACGATTAACGTACCCTATTCTAGTTGAAATTCTATTACTACACTATGTTTGTTTTGATTCGCTGTGAAAGTTTGACAGATAACATCAGGGGTGTGTGGATTCATGCAGAACATGCAGGGGTGAGTGAAATAGCTTGGGACTGCTTGGGACCGTTATTCTGGTACTGAGTGAGCCAAAAATAATAATGATTTTCTTCGGGACCCAGTGGTCTTAGAGTTACCTCTATGCTTATAGTACGTTCAGACTACAGAGTTATAAGATGTTATAGCGCTATCTTGATGGTGGTTTCTGTGTTGGAATTAGTTGACAACCGTTATAACATGTTATAACTCTCCAGTCTGAACAAGGCATTAGAGTTACCTCTATGGTTATAACATGTTATAGCGCTATCTTGATGGTGGTTTCTGTGTTGCAATTATTTGACAACCGTTGTAACATGTTATAACTCTCCAGTCTGTACAGCGTTTTAATGTATTTTTATGTACTTGGACGTCACACTGAAGTCTGAGGCTGTGTTCCATTTGGAAAATTTTCACTTAAATTTGACACTTCGAAAATAAATTAAGATGTTCGAAAATCCCTCTGTTGATGATCGTCTGATTTTCGTGAAGGTGTTTGTCAAAATTTATTCGTCGTCTGTCAGAAATAAGTCTGGTACAATAGCAGGTTTATTTGAAAATTTTCCATCTGTCAAATTTAAGTGAAAATTCACCAAATGGAACACAGCCTGAATACATTAAGGGCACAGCAATACACGTTAAAATTTAATGTATTGAAGATGTCTGCTGATGTTTCCTACATTACAATTTCTGTTCGGGAAATACAAAAATAAGTAGTAAGTATTCATTTGTGAGTAACAAATACTCATAAATGGGTAATTCGTTTACTCATCTAATGGGTAGTCCTCGGGGTAGTCGCACCCTGATAAACGAGCACCATACATGAACGATACCACAAATCGTGCCACCGAACTACATATTGTTGGGATGATAACCCGAATAGGTTGTTAGGCACTCCTTATACTTATCGTTTATGTGGACAGTCTCCCTCGAAAATGCTTACTTTGTAGCCAATATCGAGTATATTGTATAGTCATTATTTGGTATTTTGTGATTACCTGTAGAGCTTTTTGACGTTTAATCGGCGCACAACCATTTAAATCGAATGAGTGCGAGCAATAGGGAAATATATAAGCGGGGAAACAAACCGTAAATTCTTCCATATGTGCTTGATAAAGAAAGGCGATTAAACGTTAAAATGGTGGCAAAATCTAGGGTAAAATCGAGGGCAAAATATGGTTTGTTTACATTTTGGCTCTTCCGCCCCTTTCAAATGCTAGTCTAGATTAAAAGTTTTCTAGTCATAATGAGTTTATTCTGATTACCGTGTAGGTAAAACCTGATGTCCAACATGTAAACAAAGCAAAGTGCACTCCCTTATCAGTTGGTATTTACTTGTGTTACTTTAAATACTACTTGGTACACATTAGTGTTGTTAGTACCTTCCTGTTTTCCTATAGGTTATTTGCTACCTGCAACGATATTTGCAAACATAAAAGTGAAAGCGCATTACATACATTACTTAGCAGTAGCAGTGCACTGTATCCGTCCTGTAGTGATCATCTAGTGAGTTCCATCAGAGTGATGCTTTTGTACCATGTAAAGGAAGTGCTATATAAATTCTATCAGGATGATGTGGCCAGAATAGTTGCGCTTATCATTCTGGCCCTGTCCATCGTCCTCGGGTGCTACGTCAGGTGAGGGAAATGATTCATCAAAGCTGTAACCATTTCGACTGATTATCGATTTTTCGCAGCTCAATCTTGGGACTTACCATTTTGTTGTTCTTCATCAATGGCTGTGCGGCTGCAGTATTTACGCTCAACCACAAGGATCGGGTTGGGTGGTACCTTCAGAAGCTGAAAGATTTCTTCGGCTATAAGGATTATGTGAGTCCACAAGCTTTAGCATTTTCTATCTTGATAAAACATCACGAATTGTATTTTCTAGGATCCACACAGCGCCTTGGAATGTAATATTTGTGGCAACGAGAAATGTCCCCGTCACAATAGAAATGCGCTGATCCACGAACCGTGGAAGGGTTTCCTCATTGATCCCGCATTGGACGATGCGGTCGACAAGTTTTTCTCCCACATCCTGAATGGGTTTATTTGTAACTGGTACGCCCAGATATCTCCGGATGAAGAGTTCATTCTTAACATCAAAAGTAACCTACGGGATGCCCTCTGTCGGTTACTGATCCGAGCCAAAGAGTTGGATGCTCCAACGGTCATCACAACCCGCCTACTACCGACATTTTTCATTCACTATGAAATCATCGCCAAAATGCTACTGGTCGATCACGTTCCGATGGATCGTCTTTCCAAAACATTCCTTATCGATGAGTATCCCATCCATCCGGCGGTGCTCAACCGCCAAGCGGAGCTGAGTTATCTAAGAGGGGTCGCCAAAGTGATGCTGCCTAGGCTGTTTACCCAGGAGAATATCAAATGTAGGATATTTTCCAACTTGATTAAGGAATTACTGACTTTTTGGGTGCTGCTTCCGCTATTGGATGTAATTTCGGATCCGAATTTGATAAACTTGCTGATAATTGCTGCGACTGATAAGCGTCATAAAGATCCCAACCGAGCGGGACGATTGAAAGCTCTAAGTTGTGAAAAAGTGGAAATTTTGAAGGATTTCGTTGACAGAAGTCGAGAAAAGGTTGAATGCAGTGTGGAAACGGTTGTTGGGGAGGAGAACATTCTGAAGGATCAGAACAAGTTATACTATTTTATGCAGTTTTTGATCAAGGAAGGGGCAGTGGAATTGCTGCGATTCTACTTAGACGTTGGTAAGATTTAAGCAATTCAATTAGAAAAGAAGTATTTTCTTATGTTCACCATCGACAGACATCCTCAACAAGGAACTGGAGGACCCGCACATTACGACTGATCCAACAAAGCTGTCTTCGTTGCACCAGCAGTCGGAGAAATTGCTACAAATGTACCAAAGCTCAATGAGGACTGAACAAGAAACATCCATTGCGGCTACACTTAACGAGGCTCACGAGCGAGTCAAGGAGAAGCTGGAGGAAAAATGGCGAAAGCATTTCAGTAAAACTTCCGAGTATTTTGAGCTGGTTTATGGTTCTAGAGAAGTCAAGGAGAATTCGGATAAAAAGTAAGTTAATTTTGATTTTCATACTCTGATTTTTAGCTCATATATTGCAAACCAATTGTAGGCTCACCGAAGGCGGTGGCGGTTCTGGAACGAAACTGAGCTCCAAATTCAAGGAGGTGATACGGGGAGCCGTGGACGGTGCACCGATTGAAGCCACCGAAGCTCCCACCGTTTGGGACGCTCTGAACGATACCCAACCGAGCAACAATATCTACAGTTCCGTCACGCAGAAGCTCCGCAAGGAAAAGGGACAAAGCTTGGATGCGTTCATGGCGACGTTCATGCATTCCATTGAACAGAGGTACGTAGAGAATTCTTATGTTGAAAATAAAATCCAGTTTGAAACTGTATTTCAGTCCCGACATGGGTGAGGACGTTATTCAAATTAAGGATAAAGTGAAGAAAAAATTCAAACAACCTGGCCAAAGCGTCGTGTTTGGGGACCTATTCGAACTGAAGAAAACTTCGAAGAACACCCACACGACCACCTTGCTTTCGCACAGCGTCCGGGGTCCATCGCAGTGCTTAATTTATATATGTAAGTATTAATCCCGGTTCGGTTGACGATTGCGATTGATGGGTGATTTTATGATTGCAGTGGTAAAAATCCTAAACGCACCGGTTCTGGTCGTTCGCTTGGCATTGGCGTTTTGCTGCGTATCGCGTAAAACCGTAGACACCTTAATTCACACCGGAGTTGCCCGATTGCTACGGGCAGGGCTGAAAGAAACCCGTCTAGCCGTCCTCATTAACCTACTGAGAGAGATCATTTTCCTCAAGAAACTACCGGAGCCTACGCCAGCCGAATTGCTTCGACGACAACAGGAAGCTCGCAAGCGCCTGGAAGATCTTCGTCCCGGCCTGGGCAACGTGGCCGATGTGCTCCAATCACCGGCACTAAACAAACATCTCATGTACTGTTTATTCGATATCATCCTGGGGGAAATGTATCCGGAATTTGAGAGCCCTGCAGCTGTCGCCACGACAGTCTTCGAAAAGTAAACCCTAATTGGAAATAGATGCTACTAAATCTTCGCTCTCTCTCTGCCAATTGAAAGCTTGTAATTTGAATTAGGTAGTGGTGATCACACTGTCCGTTATGGCTAGTGCTGTGACGAGGTCGTATTTATCGATAATATCGATATTCGGTGTCTGAAAATATCGATATCATTTCGATATCGGGTCCGGTATCCAATATTCACCGACGGTAGAACCATGTCGGATTTTTAAATATCGATAATCGTATCGATAATTTAGACCCGATATTTATCGATATCGTCACAGCACTAGTTATGGCTAGCTTCAACCAGTTGTTTTTATGTCAACTCGTATCTATTCAGAACGAGCCTCGCAGATTGGCAAGCACGTGCTGTACAGTGCCGTTAAGCTCCATAAATTAAATCCTAGCGGTGACATTTTCAATATGCAAAGCTTCTGTTCGAAGGCGCGCAAAACTGTCATAGATGCGATAAAAGACGTACTAGAAATAATTAATGGCTTCTTCGTATATACCTAGATAGATAGAGATGCTAACGTTAGATGTTAGCACCAGTTGACAAGGCAGAGAATGGTATAAAAGAAATTGTTTACATCGGGGGTGTGTTCAGTTAATCTGTTAAAGTATCGGTGTGAAGGTTCAATCGACGTGCATCGAACGGTGACAATGTTGAGATATTGCATAATCGTGCAATGCATTCTAGCTGCTTCAACAGGTAAGTATTATTGGTTGTTTCATTCTAGTACGGCCTTCCTACACATATTACATGCATACTCCTCAGCTGATCATAACGGTTTCGGACCGGGCAGACAGGACTGGGGTCTTGCAAAGGTTCGTCAAGGAGCTCATATGTTCTGGTGGTTGTACTACGTCACCAATCCGGGTGCAGATCATTACACAGATCGACCCATAGTGATCTGGCTCCAGGGAGGACCCGGAGCATCCTCGAGTGGCTATGGAAATTTTGAAGAAATTGGACCATTGGATCTAGATCTACACGAACGATCGCATACATGGGTTAACGACAAGTGAGCTAGCAGAGCAAAAATGTTTTAATTAGAGCCAGTGTTTATAGGTGAAGTACTGCAACATTCTGTTCGTCGACAATCCAGTTGGAAGTGGTTTCAGTTATGTAGATGACCCGTCACTGCTAGCAAAGGATAACGACCAGATAGCACAGGATTTGGTGACGCTCATGAAACAGTTTTACAGATTGTTCCCGGAGTTTCACAAGACTCCCCTACACATATTTTCCGAAAGCTACGGTGGAAAGATGGCCGTAGAATTTGCATACCAACTGGATCGAGCCATTAAGGAAGGATCGATTGATTGCAATCTGCGCTCAGTGGCATTGGGAGCTCCATGGATTTCACCGGAAGATTCTGTCTTAGCGTGGGGAGAATTTCTTCTCAACCTCGGATTCGTAGATACCAAAGGGTACTCGGTGATTCAGAAAGCTGCCGAGGGCATCCAAGATCTTATTCGCATTAATAAAACTAGAGCAGCAACGGAAATTTGGAGAAGCATGCAGCAATTAGTGACGAACGAAACCGTTGGGATCGATTGTTACAACGTTTTGACACCTCAAGAATTCACAAGTAAAGCACTCGTGAAGAATGACGATGAAAGTGAGTTACCCTACACACTTTTCTTTCCGAATATTAAAACAAAAACCATTACCACTTTTTCAGTTCTGGAATTCAGCGAAGACGGTCATCCCAGCCTTCGAGTAGCACGATCCATGGATAGCACTGATAAGCTGAAACTGTTGATGCGCGGTCCAGTCGCTGCCTCTTTGGGCATCCCGAGTCGTGCCTTATGGGGTTCTCAAAAGGATAAGGTTTTCGAAGCGCTGTACGAGGATTTTATGAAACCGGCGACCAAAACGGTGGAATTGCTGCTGAACAACACCAACGTCAATGTCATCGTGTACACCGGGCAGCTGGATTTGGTAGTATGTACCCCCGGAACCGTACGATGGGTTGAAAAGCTGCAGTGGCCCGGTAGTGTTGAATACCTGAATGCTCCAAGAACCGGTATGGGGTACTTGGGAGTTTTAGAAGGTTATGCAAAATGTTACGATAGATTGTCGATGTATTGGATTAACAGATCCGGCCACATGGCGCCTGTTGATAATCACATGGCAATGCAGTACATTCTGGACAAGCATGTTCGGGCTTGAGCGATTCGCTCAAATTTAAGTCATTTATTTTATGAGTTTTACATTGATGGTGCGAAAGAAAAGTCCTTTATGTTATTATAATATAAAGTGTTCAAAACATCGATTTTACTCCACCTTGCTCAATTGATTATATAGGACCTAATTCTTCTCCAAAAATTTGAGCTCATTTCGCTGCGATCCTCGCTGCGATCTCATATTGCACACGCCCAAGGATGAAAGAAAAATTCATATTGAATGTATTAAGCAAACCACATAGATTTTTGCAATGGCTATATTCCCATAAAGCTTAAAATGAATACATATGAAGTGTATAAGTCATGTCAAAATAATTTCATAACATAGACTTATACATTTCATGTACAATCAAACATACTCTTTATTAGACGCCAAATATTTCTCATTGAATCAATTCATTTATATTATATTATAAAGAATATTAATATTGTGAGTCTCACAAATATTATTAATATAGATTATCCACGGTAGTATTGGAATTGGCTTTCTTTTATCCATTTCCGTTTTCAATCGAAACACACTATTAGCAACAATCAATACGAAACTAACGATTTTAAATTGGCTCACCACTTTAGTAGCCTATTGGTCCCAAGCAAACGATTAACGTACCCTATTCTAGTTGAAATTCTATTACTACACTATGTTTGTTTTGATTCGCTATGAAAGTTTGACAGATAACATCAGGGGTGTGTGGATTCATGCAGAACATGCAGGGGTGAGTGAAATAGCTTGGGACTGCTTGGGACCGTTGTTCTGGTACTGAGTGAGCCAAAAATAATAATGATTTTCTTCGGGACCCAGTGGTCTTAGAGTTACCTCTATGCTATTAGTATATTATTACAAGTATTCGTACAACATCCATCATTCTGCAGAACCAAATTTAAAGATGCATTGTGTTGAAATCATACTTTTTACGGAAATGCAACGTTCTTTGTTTTTAGATTTCCCTTCCGATCCAATTTTACAGAAGACTGGTAGCACAAACGAAGTGACAGGCGACTAACTGGCGAAGAAATCCATTAAAATATTGCGGATTTCACACCTGATTAGACTCCTGCGCTAAATATAAGTACACAGTAATATTTTCGCACTGGCCATAAAAGTCAAATATGGAGTTTCTTAATGCTTTCTAGAGCTTTAATTCACAGTGTAGCTGCTAGTAATGTTCTAAAGCTTTTACCACAAACGAAGTGACAGACGGAGCGGCTCGAAAACTTTGGTGACTAACCTGCTATTTCAATTTTTCAGTGTACCACATGGCAACACCACTACTACTGGATTGTACCACATGGCAACACTACTACTGGATTGTACTAGCATTTTCACCAAATGTATTAGAATGTTTTGGTTCTATCTCTTTCACACACTCAAGACTGAAATGCATAAAAAAATGACAAAATGATACACTCTTTGCACACTGTCAAAGAATCATTGTATTGCGCGTTTCACACCAAACTGGACTAATAAGCGCGTTTTCACTTATTAAAAAGTGTGATAAAACTGCAAGTTTACGTCTAATCGTCTTGGTGTTTTCAGTGCACTTATTCCTTATAATGCAAGCAATAAGTGATCCCAAGACATCAAAACGATTTGACGGAAACGTGCACTTTTATCACACTTTTTGCATTTTTAGAACAGTCCAGTTTCAGATGCAATCAGCAATACACAAAATCAACTTTGTTCAAATCAAAACAAAAAACTAACCCAACTGGTGGATGATGGCACAAGCTTCCAAGAAAATTCTATTACAGTGAACCACATTATTGCGGATTTTGTACCAAATTAGACTCCTGTGCAAAAAATAATTGCACAGTAATATTTTCGCACAGGCCAGAAAATTTAAAAAAACGACTTATTTGAAAGCAGTAAAAGCACAAACGAAGTGACAGACGGAGCGGCTCGAAAACTTTGGTGACGCACCTGCTATTGCAATTTTTCAGTGTACCACATGGCAACACCACCACTACTGGATTGTACCACATGGCAACACTACTAATGGATTGTACCACATGGTAACACTAAATGTACTAGAATGTTTTCGTTCTATCTCTTTCACTCTACTCTAAACTGAAATGCATAAAAAAATGACAAAATGATACACTCTTTGCACACTGTCAAAGATCATATTGCACACAAAATCAACTATGTTCAAATCAAAACAAAAATACTAGCCCATCTGGTGGCTGATGGCACAAGCTTCTAAGAAAATTCTATTACAGCGAACCACATTATTTTAAGTGATTTCTTCGCCAGTTAGTCGTCTGTCACTTCGTTTGTGTCATAACCACTAAGGCACTTTTCTAATTTTCCATTTTTCTCAACAAAAATATTCCTGAACACCAGCAGAATATTTTCAAAAACGTTACAGAATTAAATTTTTCAACTGTAGATTAAGTTTTGCAGCATCTCAGATGAATCAATTTATCAGGAAAAGTAAAAAAGTGTTCCGCTTCCTATGTCTCAAGGCAACAATTTATGCTCACAACACTCTTTTTGACGTTCTCCTATTCACCACCAGAGGTTGAATCGATCGTTTATTTCTATTAAAAAGGCCTATTCTCCTCCTCCTCCTCCTCCGGTTTGACTGGAACTTCTGAATGCAGTACTCCACATTTTTCTTGCTCAACATCAGCGAGTAATTCTTCGCGTTCGGTGGATTCCGATGTTTGGCTGTCTTCAAAATTTACTTCTTGAAATCCAAGTAATTGAAAACCCTGCAAAAATAGTAGAGCGTTATTATTTGTTAGTGAAAACAAGCATATTTGGCTCTCACCTTATTATGTCTCCAAATAGTGAGTCGGTTGAAAAGTTCGGCAATATACCAATCCGACGGATCGATAATTCTTCCCAGTTCGTCTTTACTAATAACTGAGAGCCTTTGTGAGTCGATGCCGTTGTCTGCAAAAAAACAAATACTAGAGGATGCCATTAGTCTCAGTTGAGTATATCATTTTCCTTTGCATAACTTACCTAATAAGCTTCGCAAAATTTCTTCTCGCAGCTGTAACTCATCCAACACCATGGATTCAAAATTTTCGAGCGCCATATTGAACGCTGTTTCTTTTAATTCCAGAAAACATAAAAAGTATAAGTCAAGCCTTATAACCTTCAGTCATGAAGCATGACTTATACCCACTGACAAACCGACATGAATGACCATACAAAGTACCATCAAATTTCTGATCAAAGCACAAAACTGACATCTATCGACGTTTTCGCGAAAAATGTGTATCCTAGCCACGAAGACGCATACAAAATATATGAGTTAGTTCGTGGCTAATCTATTCCGGGCAAATTATTTTTATCTAGATAACAAATTTCTATGGTTTTGACAGATGGGATCGCTGCACATTTGAATCCGGCGTTATGGATTCTCGATCAAGAGTTAAGTTTAAGTTTCATGTCGGTTTGTCGGTGTTATACCTTTTATTGGGTAAACAAATACAAGGTATATAGAAAGTAGATGCATTATATGTGCATGGTTCATAAAAACTGTGGCGTTTTTCAGCTATAGAAATAATTAAATTGTTTTAATGAATAAAATAATTAGAATTCTTTGAGTGATATCCTGCAGACTCTCACGAGGCAGTGAATGATGAGGCGGATGGCACCCTTCGAATATCGTTGCCAACTCATGGGTATTGAAACTCTTGAACGTATTATTAACCAGATATTTTTTGCAGCAAAAGTGCTGAACCAAAATTGACTGTTCCAGGATTTCTACGGAATTCGAAACTGCAAAGCGGAAACCTTTCGTCACCGGATTCAACATAGTCTGCTGGATAGTTGACGATACTGTTCGACACATGCAACTGCTTTTAATCAGCAAATTCTTGCATGACGGTAAGTAGCTATCATTTTAATGCATTTCAGATGAATTTTGATGATGTGACGAAAAAAACTATGTTTGAATTTTTGTACTTCACTCTTAAGTAAATTTTTTTTTGTGCGCAGTGCGCAGAAGTGCGATTATGAGATTTTTCTACTCGGGTGTTTAGTCGAAGTCGGTACAAACAGCCGATCCCAAACCGATTGTAGGTGTACTAAAAATTCGAGCGAAAATAACAATAATTTCGCCCACCTGTCTGCACTGAGCGGTTTTCGGCCAACATAGCAGACATCGCTCACCCAGGGCCATCGGGGCCATCTCCACGGGTCGAAACCCGACCGCCGCGTCATTCATCAGTTTTCTCTTGCCGTGAGTGGGTCTTGCTTCTTGTGTGATGTGCGGAAAAATTGTGTCCATACCCGTGCCCAGCAGCAGTAGCAGCAGATTATTCATCCATGAGCAGCGCTACCTTTTTTCTTTAGTTTTTTGTTAAGTTTTCGGCCGACAATCGGTTTTCTTCAGTTTTTTGTTCCGGCACTAGTGGCTTCAGAGCACTCGTTCCGATGAAAAGACGGGTCAAAAGTAGTGAAAAGTCCCTTTCCCGACGATAGGAATTTTTAGTGCCAAGAAAAAGTGGAAGAAAAAGTGGCGGAAGAAGGCTGCAGTCGACGACGGCGCGACGAAAAACGGACCATAATTTTTAGTGCTCTGCGGATGTTCAAGCACTGAATAGTGGAAATCAAAGCCAAGCTGCAGCTACGGCGACAAAACGACGACGACGACGGCGGAAAAGCGCGTTGTGTGTGTGAGAGGCGAGAAAAAGTGTTCTGGGTGTGCAATTTCCGTGCGAGGAACATTTTTACTTTATTGGTTTATTTATTTTAATAATGAGTGATTATTCCAATCAGAACTCGCAAAATTTTAGTCAATCGTCAGCATTTGCAGCCGCTTTACAGAGAGCTAAACAAGTGAGTAAAAATGAAGGACGACAGAGATGAGCAATTAAAAAAAAAAAGTTTCTACGTGTTATCTTCATCCTCGTTCGTCTCTTTTTGGGGGAAGGCGTGCTATGCATACAGCAGGCGTCTTGATCGAAACCGGGAAAATGGCCGCCGCTAGTACAAGTACGGTTAGACACAGACACACGAGACGAACAAAGTGAACGCACCAGGCGAAAAATCGATAATGCTAGCGGGCTTCGTTCCAACATGGGGGAGAGCCGTACCTTCTTTTAGTAGTTAGCAGCAGGCAGCATACATACTGGTTTTGTGTGTATAACGGGAATGATGTCGGGGTTGGTCTTGTTCGTCGTAGGTGGAAAGTCTCTCGATTCGGACATGTGATAAAAAGTTTGCTATGGCTTTTGAAAAAGATTTTGTAAATTAGCGATATTTTTTTTTGTTTCATCGTCGTTGTTGGTTGATAGGTAGGTAGGCAGCCATCTCTCAAGGCCATTTAAGGTAAATGACCTAGGTAGAACGAGCAGGGATATTCGTAGTGGTTTTTTTGAACTCGATTATTGATCGTGTAAAAGTCAAACATTGATCTCCAACTCTCGCTGCTCAGAATATAAAGCCTTTTTGGTTCAAAATGTTGGTTGAGTTTCTCCGTACCACCATTGTTACATCCGGCTGAAAAGGTTGAGTCAGATCAAAGAGCAGTCATTGCACACACACTTCTACGTATATAGCTGGTTTTGTGCCTATAGGGATACAGTTTGCGATCATGATCTAATGTTAACTGAAAGACTAGAATTAGAAGAAAAAAGTTTTTTTTTACCAAATAGGGTAGAGGTAAATCGAGTGGAGGACCTGCAACATTAAATTAGAAATAAAATTCAATTAAGTATGATGAATGAGAAGTTCACAGCTATTATAAATAATTATCAATGCTGTTGATTTACGTAGGTGAGAAATTGGAATATTGTCCTGATACAAGACCAATGCCCTTTCGAAACGTCCTTGCTTATGAGATCTCTTCCGACGCATTTCGCAACCCTGTTCGACTTTGTATCAATCCACTCGCAAGCCAGCTTGCTGATTCAATCCCTTCTCTCTTTTCCCCGAAAAGATTGCAGCTAAAATACACCCGGGTGGTAACCAACCGGTTAAGAGATCGATTGAGGACGACTCGGGACCAGAATCGAAAAAGTTTGGTGCACAGCCTGATTATAATAATGCCCATTCGCCGACTGGCATGAGTCCAGCTGCTCTGCAAGCCGCTGCTCAAGCTGCAGCCGTAGCCGCACGTTTATCGCAAATCAACAACAACTCAAACTCAACCGCCGCTGGAGCACAGGATCCAGTCCAGAGAGCACGTGACCTTATTAGCAAGATGGTGAACCCACAGGGAGGCGCCGGCCAAAATGGCCCAATGGACAATGGCAACCATGGCGCTGCAGGAGGCGGCGGTGGCCGCGGAGGTTTCGGTGGTGGTCCATCCAACTTCAACAACCAACCCTTCCAAGAGATTATGATTCCCGGTTCCAAGGTGGGCCTGATTATCGGCAAGGGAGGCGAAACGATTAAACAACTGCAGGAGAAATCCGGCGCCAAGATGGTCATCATTCAGGACGGACCAGGACAGGAGATGGAGAAACCATTGCGCATTTCCGGCGATCCACAGAAGGTGGAACATGCCAAACAGCTGGTCTACGACCTCATACAAGAAAAGGACAACTACAACACGCAACGACAGACCATGAATGGAACAGAACAGGCTGAAGTATTCGTTCCCAAGTCGGCAGTTGGCGTTGTCATCGGAAAGGGAGGTGACATGATCAAGAAGATTCAAGGCGAATCTGGCTGCAAGCTGCAGTTTATCCAAGGTCGTGGTGACGGACCGGGTGACCGGCGTTGCATTGTACAGGGTTCCAGAGCACAGGTCGAAGAGGGAAAACGAATGATCGAGGAGCTGATCGAAAGCGTCCAACGTCGTGAGCAGGGCGGTGGTGGACGTGGAGGTCGAGGTGAGCGAGATGAACGCGGAGATCGGGGAGACCGGCCGCACCGTGGTGGCCGAGAAGGCCACGACAACGGAAACAGTGGACAGTACGGAAACGACTTCAGTGGTCCACAAGTCACACGAGAAGAGTACACGTTCACGGTTCCGGTTAACAAGTGTGGTGTAAGTGCAGCCAATTCTAAATGTGTTGGAGCTTGTATTTTATTTTCGTTTCATTTCACTCCCAGATTATCATTGGCCGCGGTGGAGACACCATCAAGCAAATCAACCAGCAGTCGGGAGCCCACACCGAAATGGACCGTAAAGCGTCAGCCAATCAGACGAACGAGAAAACATTTACCACCAAGGGTGAACCGCACCAGATCGAGGAAGCGAAGCGATTGATCCAGGAGAAAATCAACATGGAAGTCAATTTGGTCTATGTTGGATCTTCGACAGCTCCCGCCCAACAGTATCAAAACAACGGCGGTGGTGGCGGCGGCGGCGGTCAGAATGCCTACGGTCAGAGCTGGGGCGGCTATCAGCAGCAGTCTTGGGATCAGGCACCGCAGGTGCAAGCCAGTGCGGCCTCAGCTGCGGCAGTGCAACAGCAACAGCAACCTGGTGGTGGTGGACAAGCGGATTACTCCCAACAGTGGATTGAATACTATCGGTTAGTACCGATGCAGGCTTCAAGCTGCGGACATCTGAATCGATCTTGTTCATCCTCTTGCAGACAAATGGGAATGCACCGTGAGGCAGAGATGATCGAACAACAGGTCAAGGCGCGACAGGCAGCAGCATCGCAACAGGGAGCAGCGGCGGCCGTTGCAGCGACAGTCCAGACAACACAAGGTAATTCCGTTTACGATCTTCGCACGCAGAATCTCATCGAGTCAAACTTGCTCTATTTTTTAAACTGATTATTATAATCTTCTAACCGATGGAAATCGTTGCCAATCTTTTTCTCTTGGAATATTTCTCTTCCCATCACGGGTCCTTCCTTGTTATTGCCAATTATCGTATTTGTTTCATTCTGAACATTTTTACCTTTGGTTGTGCGAAACGATTCGCGGGCGATTTTTGCTCCTATGTTATGTTACTGTTATGATTTGAACCCAATTAGCTAATCAAACTGTCCAAGGTACGCCAGTCGTTGCAACGAGTAATGCCGGAGCGCAACAGCCGAGCGGTGGTGGCGGCGGAAGCGGTGGCGGTGGCCAAGCGGACTACAGCGCTGAATGGGCCGAGTATTACCGAAGGCTCGGTAGGATCGACGAAGCCGAAGCGATCGAGAAGCAAATCGCTGCTAACAAGGTATAAAAATCACCGTTGGGGCTCGGACAAGTGAACTGGGCCGCCAACGGAAACACACATATTTGTACATGATTTCCATTAGAGACTGTTCGATTCGACGGTGGTATTTGTTTTCTTTCTCTTTTCTGTTTCGTACCGATGCACTACATTTGACAATAGGTCGTACCGGCACAGGCTGGCGGTGGAGGTCAACCGGGAGTTGCTGCCGGGCAACAGTTTAGTGCTGCTGGTGGGGCGCCTGGTGGTGGTAATCCTCAGCAGATGGCAGCACAGCAAGCGGCCGCTGCCGGTGGTTACAATGCCCAACAGTACCAGCAGTACTATGCGGGGGCAGCCGCCGCCGGAGGACAACCGGGAGGATACCAGGGCTATCCGTATGGAGGCGGATATCCGGGACAGCAAGGTGGGCAACCTGGCCAGCAGCCGGGTGGCCAGGGCCAGGACAAGAATTAAGCTGCGTACGCTTAGAGTGCGTACCGGTCGAATGCTGATCCCACCCGACTTCACTGCTGCTCCCCCTTCCAAACCCGTAATATGTTAAGGTAGGTGACACTGCTCGTGACTGTTTCTTAATTTTCCACCGTTTTCTTCTTGACAAAAATCTTTCGTTGTTGTATCCTTCATTATTTTTTTTTACATTTTCCGTTACCTACATTGTGTTTCACATGACACATTTTTACTTTCCAATTTTTACCACCTTAATAATGTTTACAACCTGCAATTTATCCTTATATGAGAAATTCGTTGACCAATAATTACTATTGTATTTTCGAGGGTTTTGCATACATTTCTATGTTTATTTCAATTGTATATTTTTTAACTGATATGAAATAACTTTTAAGCACAACAATGTAACAGTAATTGCGTGTGTGTGTGTGTAGATTTTTTTCCTTTTATTCGGTTAGAGATAGCCGATGTGATTAAATTGGCCTAGAAAACTCCAGGAAAGCTTTTTCATTGAAATATTACTCGTTATATATTTTTCCTTGTTCCGATAAAGGGTTCATCCACCAGGATTACGTTTGACTAAATAAATTACAATTACTTAATTACAATTTGAGCAACGACCAGATGTTAAAAGTCAATCGCCGATCTTGGACAACGGACAATTTATTCATAATTTATTGTCATAATTTCTTGGCCGGTAGGTAGGAGTCGGATGAGTTCCTGCTTGATAGATTACACGGAGAAAAGTGGACTCATGGCAACGATCATCATAAGTTACGCTTATGAAACATGGGAATGAGAAAATCATTTGTAATTCCAAGGGATTCTCATGAAAATTGTCTATCAATGGTTCAATCAAACTCGTCAGTAAAAATGTTTTAATTGTTCAAAAACATTCATGCGAACATGCATTTCCATCGAAACTTTGATGAAAATTGATAAATCTAATCTTATAAATACACCTTCGTCTTCTTTTTCTACGATTTTGTAGCGAGCATTTTGTCGGCTCTCAACTAGATGCACTTAAACTGTTATTAATTGAGAGCTTTCCATGCAAACGAATGCATGTAATTGTATATTGTGTGGCAAGCACAATTATACTCTATGCCCAGGGAAGTCAAGAGAATTTCTAACCCGAACGATTTCCTCGACTTGACCGGAAATCGAACCGTGTTGACTAGGCTATCTGAGGCCCCCCATATAGGTAATACCTATATGTACTAAATAACATATTCAAAAACGCCCAAATTCCTTTTAATATATTAAACCAATCCGTCAACTCTTATTATATTCTTAAAAACGTAAACTTTCATACTAATCTTAAAAAGTTGAACGGTTTTAAAAACGTCGAAAATGGTTCGATAAAGTCAAATCTTGATGAACATTTCAAATGGTCCTATCTGCTTTGATCGATTCTCTTCATCGACTTTCCCTTTTGATAACCACTGCTATGCAAACAGATTTCGTACTATTTTAACCACATAGAACCTACCTGAGGAGCACGTTTCTCTAGCAGCCATGTCTGGTCAATCTTTGACAGCTATCAACATCGACCTCGCTATGATAACTAGGGCGGCTTCGCAACTGAAGTCTTCATTTAAGCCTGGACCAGACGGAGTTCCTTCCGTCTTTCTCAAGCAACACATCGATAGTCTGGTGGCTCCTATCTGCCTTCTGTTCGAAAAGTCCCGCTCCAGTGAGGTGTTTACTTCATGCTGGAAATCAGCTGAGATTTTTCCAGTGCATAAGAAGGGATGCAAAAGAAACATTATTATTATTTATCTTTATTAGGGAGGCTTTCAGCCTTGGGCTGGTTCGCCTCCACGCAAAAGAAACATCGACAACTATCGCGGCATCACATCGCTGTGTGCCATATCTAATATCGAGTTGGTCGTTATGAAACCATTAGTCACTTGAGCGAAGACCAGCATGGTTTCAAGGCAGGGCGGTCGACTACTTCCAACCTTCTGTGTCTCACCTCGTACATTACGGAGAGTATGACAGACCATATGCAAACAGATGTCATCTACACTGTGACCTATCAGCCTCCTTCGACAAGTTGAACCATCCTATAGCGATCGCCAAACTGGATAGTCTCGGTATAAACGGCAGTCTCCTACGATGGTTCGCATCCTATCTTTCTGATCGTCAGTTGGAAGTTGCAATCGACGACTGCCGATCTCCTTCGTTCCCTGCCACTTCGGGTATTCCGCAGGGTAGCCACCTCGACCCGTTGATATTTCTTGTGCATTTCAACGACGTCAATGTCGTCCTCGACGGTCCACGACTTTCGTTCGCCGACGACATGAAAATCTATCTCCGAATCCGAGCAATCGCTGACTGCCACTTTCTCCAACTCCAACTCAACGTTTTTGCTCATTGGTGCCAACTGAACCGCATGGTTGTAAATCCAACAAAATGTGCAGTAATCACGTTCTTACGGAAGAAACATCCAATTACATTCAGATATATCCAAGAAGGCGTTGACGTACATCGTGTGAATCACATCTTAGATTGTCAACTCACATACAACCAGCATATCTCGTACGTGATCGACAAGGCATCCAAAACGCTCGGCTTCATTTTCAGGATAGCTAAAAGTTTCACGGACATCTACTGTTTGAAGTCGCTTTACTACTACCTCGTCCGGTCGGTGTTAGAATACTGCTGCCCTTTATGGAATCCCAATTGCCAAAACAGTGTACAAAGAGTAGAGTCTATTCAACGACGATTCATATAGTTTGCCCTTCGACGATTACCTTGGAGGGATCCCCATCGCCTTCCAAGCTACGAAAGTCGGTGCCAGTTAATTCACCTGGATCCTTTGTGGAGTCGAAGAGATACGACAAGGGCCCTGTTTGTGGCGACATTATACAGGGCAGAATCGATTGTCCTTCTATTCTACTACAAATCGACGTTAACGTTCAACCACGAGCACTCCGTAACAACGCAATGCTGAGGATACCTTTTCGTCGTACAAACTAGAGTTCGTATGGTGCTATCAATGAGCTACAAACGGTTTATAATCGTGTTGCTTCCTTATTTGATTTTCACTTGGCACGCAAGACGCTGCGTCAGAGATTTCGTGCTATATTTTTTAAGAATTAGGAATTAAGTTGGACTTCACGGCCTTTGCAGCTTGTTACTTCTTGACTATATTGTATTTCCTAGTATTGCTTAATCCATCATTGGGACTAAACCCAGTCTGTTGATGTAGAACCAAATAAACAAACAATTTTTTTTTGCGTTTATTTATAAGGCCCCTTCGCCTATTAGGCATTGCTTGGGCCGATGAGCATTATTAACAATTAGAACCCTTCCCGCTTTTATTTTTCAAATAAAACGTATTATTCCCTATTTGATAAGTTGCATTATTATCATCTAAACGATCTGTTTGCTGACCAGTCTTCTGGGTGCACTGATCAGCACGAACTTTCTTTTTTTCGTTCTCCTTGTGTTTCGACAGCCGGCGTTTGTCGGTATTTTCAATTTGATCCTTTGTTACGTTTGATGAGCTGGTGCTAGAATTTTCGTCGTTGCTTTCAACGTTTGAAGTGTGATGATCCTCGGTGTTTCGCTGTTGTTCTTCTGCTGAGAACCCGGTGAAAGCAGGAGATGATTGACCCGATGTCGTTGGCTGCTTTTGTTCGATATCAATCGACGGGAAATCAGCGAGACTGAATACCCCCTCGGTTGGTGGAGCTGCTGGAGCGGTGCTATTGTTCGATGTGGCTACATCCAAACATTTCTGTTTGGGATGTGCTGCTCGACCACAATGGCGGCACGTTTTTGGTTGCTTGTCGTACGTTACCAACGTTGTTTCGTTGTCGACCGTGATGTACGATGGAATGGTGCTTTCGAGTCGCATTCGCAAAACTCGAACACCGCTCAGGAATCCTGGGAAGTAGTGCTTCCATTTCTCATGTCGACTGGAAATCACTGTCCCGTACTTTGACATGTGGTTCATAATAGTGGCTTGTGGCCATGCCAGAGGAAGGTCATGCACTCGAACGGTCACTGCTTCACAATCCACATATATCGGGATTTTGAACTCACTCTTCGCACAGAGAATCGCGTGTTTATAGTTGTGCGCCTTTTCAAGCGCAAGGCCACTTCATTGTCTATCATCTCAATAAAAACACAATTTCGGACGTTATGAAACTGAATGCATCTAACGTCCGAATATTGAAGCCTTATATTGTTCTCGAAGAATTTATGCACTTTTCCCGCATTGGGACGAACTGGAAGGACACTGAAGTCAACAACAAGTGTGTTTTTACGAACTACACTCATTTTCGCTACAATATTTCACCAAGTTAAGCAGAGCAGAAAGAGCACACGTCCGATGAATACGAGTAATGGCTGTCGAATGAAATAAACAAACAATAGTTTGATAAAGAAGGTTCTCTAGCGTCCAAAACGTCAAATACAACAGGAATACCTTTTGCTTCTGAGTTATCAACGAAAGAGAAAGTCGATGATGAGAATCAATTAATGCAGATAGGACCTTCTGAAATGCTTATCTAGAAATGGTCAAAGCTACACTGAAAAAAGTTTTCATGTAGTTTCCATTGGGAACGCACATGATATTTTTCCAATAACAAAAATAATGATTTTTATCTGAAATTCACATAATATTCATATGATCACATGAATTCTATGCAGGGTTCCTTCCATTCATTTTGGCTAAGAAAATGTTTTATGAAATTATGGAATAATAAGATTATATGATAATATTTTGTTTGCGTAAGCAACAAGAAAATATTGTGAAGTTTGTGTCTGACGCATAATACCTGCCAATTTTGCTACATTAGCGTCGCAATAAGCAATTTTGTCATTTATCTCACCCACTCTTCGCTCTTCACTCCTCGCGAAGAGGCCACCAGATAATCGCTCATTGTGACTCTGTTAAAGCTAAATTTGCATGTTTTGTGTGTCAAACATAAACTTTACAATCTTTTCTTGTTACTTACTTACACATACAAAATATTATCATAATATCTTATTATTCCATAATTTCATAAAACATGGTTTTCGCCAAAATGAATGGAAGAGGCACCTTGATTCTATGTGATAAATCACATAAAATTCATTGGACGCATAAGGTTCATGTGATTTGCTGGTGCGAATCCCAATTATGAGATCACATGAAACTTATGTGAAATTCTAATGGATATTTTCCATTGGAAATGTGATTTATTTTTTGAGTGTAGAAATACTCAGAGGGAGAGATGGGTCAAAATAAAATAATTCGGCAGTTTGCAACCCTTGCTGCATGCTAGCAATTCACATGACTTTTCTTTTCGATTCGATGTACCTACGTGCAAAATAATAATTGAGTGCATCGCAGTATTTTGCACATTTCTTGCTGCCATTAATTAACCAACAAAGATCAATTAATCAATAGAGTTGGAATCGAGGGGGACGCACAAATCTTTCAATACTACGCAGCCCAATCAACACATATTTTAAATCTTATTATTGCATTCATTACGTTAAATACACTCTTCAATTATATGAATAATTAAAATACTTTCAAAAATTTGTATTTAAAATACGATCAATACCACACACAATTTTACTAATTACATAATATTAATTATTTTATTTTATTAAAATATTTGTTAATTATTTCAATACTGCTTTAAATATTTTGTTTTTTATTTCAATAACGCTTGAAATATTTTAATTATTAATAAATATTTGAACGGTATTTTCATTACCAAGCAGTCAAATCGATAAGAGCGCACCCCTCGGTTGGAATATTATTTTCGATTCTAAGAACTTTGAAGCTCACGAAAAATATAGGTGGTTGAATTTCTATTTGATTACAATTCTCCCAAATATGAGCTAGTAAAAATAAGAAAACCTCGTTATAAAATCTAATGGGAATGTTCGATTGGCTTAGATTTTGACAGTTCATTTGGCTCAAAACATTCTCTCCACTCATCTCTTCCTCTGAGGATTTCAAGTCATGACTTTTCAAAATGACAAAACATTTTCTAAATCGCTAAATGGCAACACAAATCCTGATATTATGTACTGCTGGAATAGCCCTGAAAACCTAATAATCACAAAAAAAAAGCTTTGAAATTCCTAACTGATTTAGAAATGTGCTTTATTAAGTTCCTACACTGAAAAAAGTTTTCATATAGTTTCCATTGGGAACGCACATGATATTTTTCTAATAGCAAAATTAATAATTTTTACCCGTAATTCACATAACATTCATATGATCACATGAGTTCTATGTGATAAATCACATGAGCTTCATTGGACACATAAGGTTCATGTGATTTCGTGGTTTTTAACTCTTTATTTGTTCCAAATTCAAAATAAATTACATTTCATTTTAACCTAGGTGCTCCAGTTACTACAGTAACTTACCAGCCTTAATGTGATTTCGTGATGCGATTCCCAATTATGATGTCACATGAAAGTGTTGTGAAATTCTAATGGATATTTTCCATCGGAAATGTGATTTATTTTTTGAGTGTACTTGGATTTTACCGAAGACATCATATCAAGAAGACTGGCAACTGTTCCATTTTCTCATACGAACGCTATGAGACAGTAGTAGATCAATTTGAATTACCTATCCAAACATAAATTTATATTCTATTCCCACCAGGTGGGTCGCGACCCATAGATTGAGGAACGCTGCGCTGTATTGTTGATTCACACGATCATGTGATTTACATTTACCATTATATTCACGTACATGTTTTATGTTTTCCGTTGGTAATTTTACGTCAATTATTATCATGGTTTTAGACTGTAAGCTTTCGGATTCAATTTCTGAAATTTTTTAAATAACTTGATCCATTTTATACGGAGTAAATCAGCGTCAATCTTTAGCCCAACAAAAAAAAATCATGCCGGTTACATGAATGTTATGTTACTTTTTTTTATGGGCGCTACCTACCCCGTTTGGCATAATTCCTGGGATAATGGTATTGTAACATTCAGTGGATTTGATACACCGCGCAACCTTTCGGTTTTTCATAGTCGATTAGGGGCTATTGATAAACTATATAGAGCATTTTTGAGAGGTTTTAGACCTCCATCCTTCCCCCGCGTAGATAATCGTCCATACATTTTTTTTGAAATTTGTATGGGCCGTAGACAATCGCCTACCCCTGCTAAAGTGTCTACGTGGTTTATGAACAACCCCTTATTCTCATTTTTGAAAAATTCAATACATTTTTAGGCTCCTTTCTTTGATAATTATTAGTCGTTTAATAACAAAACTATATTTATCTATAAGATATCGAATAAAAGTAAATTGATTGTTATTGTTACTAAAATAACATTTCCCAGGCTTTTCATGCCAAATGACTAGGCCAAACGCGGGGGGTTAGACCTTTTTGTTTTTCTTGATTTCCATCCATGTACCAATGAATAAAATATCAACATATATTCATAACAATATGAATAAGGAACATTGTAGACTTTCACTGAAATAAACCTTAGATTCGAATATCAACCATAGCAACTGAAACAAATGATCACCTGGCATTTAACACACATTTCAATGTTGCACCTATTATTGGTAAACGAATTCTTCCACTGATCTCATACCTATTCATGAATATCTCTAGAATACGCTCAATGTCTTTTTTTCCTGGAGTTTTTGGCCTCATATTGCATACGTTAGCAAATTGTCTAAACCTTTCTAAATAACAATGCTAAATAAATGAATGAATATGGATTTTATTTAGGTGGTCGGAATTTTTTCCCCTTTTTGTAGGTCTGTATTTCATTGTTAAATTTGCAATTGTAATATGCCACTCATCTAATAAGTATATTTTCCGGTATGCTACTTGAAACCCATAAATGCTATATAAATATTTTTTTGGTTTTTATTGCTAGTATAAGTGTCTTTTTTATTATTCTTTCTGTTCTTCGATTTATATTATATGTAACATCATCAACAATATGTTTTCTTTCTCTTCAATAACGTTTTATTACAGATTATGAATGCTATATAACCATATGTATCAACTATTCGAAAAAAAAAATACAGATTAACAAAAACTAGCGTTGAAGCTATGTAGGACAAATGAAAAACTAGGTTCGATCACAGCTTAATAGTAAAAGGCAGAATACACACAAACACACTAAACCTAGCTGTAATCAAGAAACTGAAGAAATAAGAACATTTAACCTAACGTAATCGTAAAGAAAGCAGTAAACTAAACATTTACCGATTGCATTGAAATTCGATAGAGTCTATATGTGTATGTGTCCGTTTAAAACTTTAGGTTTTGGATGGGTTTGATTCCGGGTATGGCGGTGTACTGCCGCCGTACAAAGAATTACTGTTCTACACAAAACTGCGTTGAACCGTGATGTGTGTTTCCTGCAATAGTCGTCACAGCTACGGCGGGTTCGCTCAGAGATCGCTATCCCCCCCCGAAAGCGAGCTCCCTTTTGCAGTTTGATATTGGCGCTTCCATTAGGACAATCCAATGCTATTACAATGAGTTCCAATCTGGACTTCGGTATATGTGTTTATCGAATTATATGCTTTACCAAATGATGTACAATTAGACAATTCCATTTAGATAAAATTGCATACGATTGAATTATTCACTGTTGATTACTAAATTTACTAAATGAATTGATATTACACCGTTATATATTATTATATTTATCATTTCATTTACTCCACCATAAACACCTACTTTCCTACGTAAGAAAAATGGCCATTTTTCTTCTGCATTTATGATATTACTGTACTTAATGCAAATCGTATGTCCCATTCTTTATTTTCATAAGCTTCTTTTTACTTTCTTTAACAAGTTCATCAAAACAAAAAAAAGAACAGACGCTAACAACGCAGGTTTTAGCTAATGTTGCCGACGGATATTGGCGTTGGGACGTACGGGGAAAAGATTGCCCGAGTTTGAATTGGTTCGGCCCAGGTTATGCAGGTTTTTGACCAGGAAGGTAATTTTCATACAGTAAAACTATTGCTTTCTGATGATTTTTCACAACTATATGATGTATAATATTTATGCTACCATTATATAAACCTGTGTACTGATGCGTTTATCTTATCAAACCATACACAATTTGCAATTGAATGACACATTTAGCTTTCCTAAATGCATTGATTTTCTGATATCAAAGTGTTGTTCTACCGTTGCATTGAAACTACATTGACACAAAAAAAAACAAAAAAATGGTCAACATTCTTATACCAAATGGACTCCTATTGATTGATGTGTGTAATTTTTTTGGTAATCATCGGAATTGTTTAAATCTGCAACAGCTAAAGTGTGTAATTCGATTGCCCTCTCGAGAAAAGGAGCATCGCCTAGTGTGGTGAACAAATCGGCATGGAAACCGTCCGGTTTGTTGTGGAACAGTGAAGAATCAAACACATACTACAGCGTTCTCAGTATCGTTATCGTACTTTTGTGTGATTAACAGTCCAATAGAAACTCGGTAAAAAACAGAAACAATGAAGAATGAACAATAGTAAAACAAACAAACAAGCAAAGACACTTTATTCAAAAGTGAAAATAACAAAACCAGAGAAGCCAAACAGAAAACGAACAGAGTTCAGAAGACAGTTTTTAACAAACAAGAATACAGTGAATTCAAAGGGCAAGAAAAGTGACTGGGTGAGCAATTTCTCGAAGGACTCCTTCCTGTAAAGAAGGCCAAGCAAGACAGGAAAAGAAGAAATGATGACGGAGTGTGAACACAAGGTGAGATTGTATCGAAATTGCGTTACATGTAAATGATTTTGGTTTTATTTTCTGCTATTTGATTACTTGTCACACCTAAACTGCGTATTACAGTCCTGTATATGCAACCATATAATAAACTTAAATAAATGAAATAATGTGTGTAGCTAAGGGTTCATTAATTCCGTAAACATAGACATGAGAACACTACCTTCAAAAAACTAGATTATCCAATAACATATTTTAGTAGTAAGATACCGATTTTTATCTACCACCTATTTTGCACATTATATGAGGCAGAAACTTTTATCTCAATATGGTTCTCACTGCTCCAAAAAGCATCAATGAATGTACATTCTTTTATTTTCTATGTCACTGCAATCTATTCCAAATGATCATCTGAATAAATTTCGAACACTGATAAGATTCACTTATTCTAGATAGGAATAAAGAAAAAAATACAGTGTACAGTGTGAAAAGGCTTCTGCCGTCGTGTGTCGGTAAGAGGATCTCATCCATCGCAGCTATCAGCATAGAAAGCCGGAAGTGAACCCGTCATCCAACCGGAAGGAGTCACCGACCAGACAAAAAGTGGTGTGGGTGGTACACTCACAACACATCACGACCAGCAAATTCTTTGATTTAAAACCGAAACATATGCCTACCTACATATTATCTTTAGTAGTGATCTCGTCTTTTTTTTTATTGAGTTTACAGTGTATCATTTTGTCTGTGTGCAGTCCGACAAGCAATACACTCGATCAGGCGATTTTTTCTCCTGATGTGGAGAGCAAGCCTGTGCAGACTGGTACGGACACAGTGGCATGGAAGTATCTTTTCTTGTTTGGGAATAAATACAGCTGTTCGTCATACCCTGACGACTCGGAACTTACTTAATTGAATGATGACATCAATAGTGATCCAACAATAATCCGGGGTTTGGTGTTGCATGTTGGGGCAGTCTGGAATTCTCAGGGATTTTTAAATCAAATCAGGGAAAGCTTACTTCTAATCATAAAATACACTGCATACTCAATCTAGTACATTCAACTCCCCCTAACACGATGATTTTCGAATTTAAGTTTTTGTTATTGCTTATGAATGTACATGTATTCTAACTGGTGTTGTGTTTTATTTTTGCACCAACTTTTTTGTGAAAAATCAATTTCTGAAATTGTCATGATCATGCATATTTCAACTTTGATTTGGTGGTACTTTCCAAATGATTTAATATTAACCTATTTAAAACTCAACAACCATTTTTTTTCCTTAATTACCTTGGAATTCTGATCAACAATCATGGAAAAGACCCTTGAATTCTATTCGTAATTCCCTTGAAACTCCCCTTAGAATATCCCCGGAATCCTCCAATTCCTTAAATATTATTCTGTGAATTTTATTCCTTTGAAAATATTCTAAAATTTTAAACAAAACTCTCCTAGGGATTCTTAGTATTGTAGAATAGACTAGACTATACTAGAAAACTCTCTTCATTGATCCTCCTGAGTCTATCCCCCTTATTCTGCGAGTCACGTGACTCTCTCTCACCGGTGAGGTGACAATTGTCACCTCGTGTGAGGTGACTCTCCATGCAAATCAAATGGAGAGTCACCTCACCGGTGAGAGAGAGAGTCACGTGACTCGCAGAATAGGGGGGTATTTCTTTTGAAATGTTCCTCAGAACCAGTGTTGCGAAAATATCAAAAAATCAAATCTCACCAACGCCCAAGATCACGCTTGATTTTCGTAGACAAAAATCAACAAGCAAACTACTGCGGTTGATTTTGCAAGCTGTGATATCGCAGCTCGGAATATCAAGCTAACCAAACTTACCAACTGCAAATCTCACCAAACTGTGGTGAGATTGATTTTAATGATTTTTGCTTTACACCCGAATGCAACCGAAACTTTCATAACAGCTTACAGCAGTCCCTTCGCATCTGCCATCGGTGATGATTAAAAAGAGATAGCAAACTATGCTTTCTCTTCCTAAAAAAACGATGTGCAATGGAAACATTTTTGTGTCTAGTCAACTCTCAGCTTGATTTTTGCACGTTGTGGATAGTCTCGCAATATCAAAGGAGCTTGTAAAATCAATATCAAGCATGAAATTTTGTTCCAATATCACGCGTTATATTGCGAGCGCATGAGAGCGGAAAAATATCAATTGATTTCTGATTTTGCCAACACTGCTCAGAACACTCTATAAATTATGTTAATAATAATCTTTGCCTTATCCTTAAAATTCATTGCTATTCTCCTCACGATTCCCATAAAATTCTACTCAAAATCACCTGGGAATTCTCCTTGATGTTCTTTTCACAACATCCATGGAATTGTTCAAAGAATTACTTAGGAATTCAATTCAGAACTATCTATCTTCTCCCCATAAATTCCTTGGAATTCATCTCATTCATTCCTTTGGGCATTATCTCAGAATTATCTTGGAACCCTAGTCAAAACTACCTTCGGCTGTTTGATCTTTGATCGTCTCCTTTACCGACTAGATGCTTAGGGGAACTAGGGGCAAGAAGGTCACCCTAACGATATCATCATTGAAATTAAAATTAAACCCCATCAAAAAATGTTAATGATTTTTTCAAAATGTCATGTCGAACCTGCTCTAAAAAATGCTACGGGGCAAGAGGGCCACTCTTATGGGGCAAAAAGACCATATGTCTAAAATGAAGTGAAACTGATAACTGTTCATTTCTAAACAACAAATTACTATTCTAAGGTATGGCAGCAACTGCTTTTATTGTTTATTCCACTAAAATATTGACTTAACGATATATTTTTTTATATCTAAAACATATAAACCATGTGCGTCAAAGATTCAAATGGAAACTATTTTTAATACTATTTTATGCAGTTTGTTTTCCAAAATTTCACGAAAACAATGTATATTGAAAACATAAATTCCCAATTGTGTTAATTTCTGAACATTTTTGTACAATGTAATACATAAATGTAGGGGTGGCACTCTTGCCCCGTATTAAGTTTATTTTTAGGAATATAATTTTTGATTAATTAAACAAAATATTTATTAATTTATTGTTATTAATGCATCAAACAACCATCAATAGTGATGTCTCAATGCAGAAATTGTGAAAAAAATAAATTGGAAATTCCGAAAACCTTATTTTATGATGCCTTATTCTTATAAAAAAACTAGCTTTTCAATGCATCAACACAAAATGTTTTTTTGCATTTTTTTTACGACTTCGATTCGGACAGAAATTTTTAGAATGCTTCATAGGAATACCGTGCATAGGTTCATCGTGAGATAAAATTGAAATGATTTCATTTTCAAAATATATTGAGGGTGGCACTCTTGCCCCTAGTTCCCCTACATCTCATGACACATTAGTCTAAAACAAATATTTTCTCCATAGCCGTAGCATATGCGATAAAATTAATTTTCTCCAGCGCGAATATTTGAAAAATGTTAGAATACCTAGCTCAAAATGTCAAAAATGTTATAAGGGGCTTTATTACGGGTGTCACTACACGGTGATAAGGAAGTGATACTAATAATAAGAGCCGTGATTGCCGTACAAAACAAATGGGAATCACTTCACCGTGAAGTGACATCCGTAATAAGCCCCAAGATTTCAAAAATCAAAAAAACGTCCAGTAGTTTCTTATAACGTATCGTTAATATTCCTTCAGTAGCTATATAAATGGTCATTGATTTCTTATATGACATGATGTTTTTCTAGTTTTCAAGAAACATTAAAGTTTTTCTTTACAATTTATTACTTAAGTCCATTCGGGGCAATATGAGCACCACTGTCATTTTTTTCAAACATTTCGATCGATCGAAGAGAATTGATCATCGCGTTTACGCCCTTATGCATGCTCACTGTCGATTTTCTACATAAATTTAAGCTGAACACAGGGTGGCCAGCAAACCGGGAAATATCCGGGAATTTGAAAAGTAACTGGGAAAAAACCGGGAATTCGATGAAAGAACCGGGAAAATAAATAAACCATACCATAGGAAGGAACAAATTTTAACACCAGAATTTCAGAATTAACTATTAAAACAGAGTGATTCTTTACCAAATAAATTTCTTGCTCTTTTTGCTGCATAATTTACTTTAGTTTCCCGTCTTAGTGTTTTAAGAATTAAATCACTCAGCAAAATTACAATTTTAATTTTTGTCGTTTCAATTTTAGATGTTATAGTACGTTCAGACTACAGAGTTATAACATGTTATAGCGCTATCTTGATGGTGGTTTCTGTGTTGCAATTATTTGACAACCGTTATAACATGTTATAACTCTCCAGTCTGGACAGCGTTTTAAGTGCATGGGCCTTTAAAGAAAATATTAAAGATGCTGTTCTTTGGAAACAAATATTTGTTAAATCCGAAACTGAACTATTCTTTTCCTTGGTTTTAATTTTTCTGTATTCAAATTCTCATGACATGAATTCCAGAATTAACATGGAATTCTTCTCTGAATTATCATGGAATTCTTCTGAAATTAACCAAAAAGTACTTCGCGTAATAATTACCATTGAATTCTTTTTAGAATTTCCTTGATAATCCTTCTAAAAACTTGATTGGAATCCTTCTTAAAATTCCCTTGAACGGATACTTTGATTCCTTTGAAATTCTTTTCAAAATTTTATTTTAACGGTATTCAAAACAGCATAAACCTTTCGAAATTTTATTTAGAACCCCCTTGGAGTATTTTAAAGAAATTCGTTCTATTTACACTACATTACAAATAAAAGTAAACAAAATTAGCTTCAATGTCTGACCTATGATTCTTATGTTAAATCCTGCACTGAATCCCAAAATGTAGTCTGAAAAATTTCAGTAAGATAGTTTTCTAGATGCAACTAAAAATTGCAATTTCTTTTAAAAATTAAATTTCACTTTCACTATATCAATTATTTGAACGTCAAATTAAAGGGGATTTTTTTTCGATCAACTGAACATCATTTGTCAGAGAGATTAGTGGCATTGTTGTGTTAATTAATAGTTTGTTTATTTTATTTTTATGTTTTGCATATTTGCAAGAAAATTTGATTTCAACAAAGTTTTTAAGCAAGGTAAATACAAATGTTTGTAGTGGTTGTGCCAACAATACCACTAATCTCACTGAAAAATAGTATTCAGTTGATCGAAAGTAAATTTGGTATCAATATAATTGAAATAGCTTCATTACAGCCGGAGATATTTGTATTTTAGTAAACAAACTTTTATTAGAAGAAATTCATTTTTTAACTGTATCTAGAAAACTATTCCACATTAGGTTTTTTTTCTGACATGGGAAATGACCATCAGCGTACAAAGTTCAAATATGTTGTAAACTAGTGTTTTTAGTATTTTTTTGATGGAGCTCTGTGATGAATCTTTCGCACTAGGATGGAAATAAGAGCTAGAACACTCTTAAAACTCTGTGTCTTGTTGAATTTTCATCATAATTATCTTGGAATTCTTTTTAAAATTCATGTGTCATTTTCCTCACGATCCTCATACAAATCTCCTCAGAATCACGTAGTAATTTTCACAACTCCTTTTAAAATCTTCATAAAATACATAAGAATCATAATATTTTTTTTCAAATCTGTGACCTTGAAAAAATGTCAAAATCTCACATTTTGATTATTTTTTCTCCAAATATTGTATCACGAAGATTGTTATTAATCACAAATTTTGAAGAAAAGTTCTAGTTTCAAACTGTACAGAAATTTCAAAGTCTCAGAATTTCGGGAATCTTCTTAAATCACATTTTTTATCCTTTCAGTGAATAACCTTTCAGTAATATTTTTCATGTATTGGTCTCTTGGACGTGGGTATTAAATTGCATGAACCATGTTTAGTTTCACGTTGAGTGAGTTCCAACGTCAATAGTTTTTACA